AAGGACTACTATGTTTGTTAAAGTGAATGACTTTGACTTATATTCAAGGTCACAGGGGTCAAATTTGTTTAAAATCTTTAAACGACCTCTTCTGAATAACCATGGGTCCCAGGATGTTGATACTTTGCAAGTTGCATCCTGAGATGAAAGGCTATAAAATTTGTTCAACATAATGACTTTGTTCAACTTTCAATCACAGGGGTGAAATGTTTTAAAAAAAATTAACAGGGTCTTTTGAATGAATTTTAATCATAAATACTGATATTTTGCCTGTAGCTTTATTTTAGATCACTTTTAAGGTTACATGTGTGAGATTTATACCAGGTGAGCGATGCAGGCCCATTGGGCCTCTTGTTTAAAAAGATGAGAGAGAGAAAATAGAAATAAAAACTTCAGACATCGGAATCATAGATAAATACATATGAACTAGATGTGTTGATGACAAAATTAGATTTACCAATCAGTAACCTAATGTCATTGATGTGTAGGTGACATCTCTGAACCACAAATACTTCCGCTCCCACCTTGAGGATGCTTTGTCCCTGGGGCGCCCTCTTCTGCTGGAGGATGCTGGGGAGGAACTTGACCCTGCACTTGACAATGTTCTGGAGAAAAACTTCATAAAATCTGGATCAACATTCAAGGTAAGTTAGAATGTGACAGGTATAAGTTTCTTGAATTACAGTGTCTCTCCTGCCTACACCCAACTTTATTCTTTGAAAAGAGGTTCCATGTATTGATGAGGAACCTATTATCTATAAACCTTGTACAATCCTGATGTCTGTATTAACCATACCAACTCCTTAGTTCCACTGCAGAAGATTCTTGGACATTCTTTAAAACCAGGACGATCTAGTCACCTACCAGTAGCTGAAGTTGTACAGTGTTCTATGTAAAACCAGGACGATCTAGCCCCCTACCAGTAGCTGAAGTTGTACGGCTATGTAAAACTTGTGCTGTCGTCGTGATTGATGAAGTTTTTGGTAGATGTTTGATGTTGTTATTTTTATGAAACATACTTATATATAAAAAGTAATATAATTCTGCGGTATGGATTTCTGTACCATAATCTGTTACTGTGTGTTGGGCACATTTTTTTCTGGCATGACTTTAGCGTTGATAAATAATATCTGAAAAGAAAACCATACCTTACAGAAGGTTTCACCCAGTGTTAACTTCGCCATTCGTCAGAATCATCCTTATTCACCCAGTTTTAATTTCTCCACTCACATTTAACTACTATGTATATTATGTTGTTTACTAATGTTCGCTGTAATGATATTCGGCCCATTACAACTGGCGGAAAAGGCAAAAATTAAACTGCGGCGAATTTGCCTGGTATACAGTAGTAAAACGTTTGAAAGGGATTAAGGTGGTCCTATAAGACAGATGGTGCCTCCCAATACAGACTGCTGCACAAGCAACTCTTTATATAGGATGATACAAACATATTACAAACTTTACATTCACAATGATGGACATTTGTAGGTCAAAGTAGGAGACAAAGAATGTGATGTGATGAGCGAATTCTACCTGTACATTACAACCAAACTGCCGAACCCTGCCTACTCACCGGAGGTAAAGTTTTATTATTATAGACAATCCCTCAAAAGTTTTAGTTTTATTTCAGATTTAGATCAGTTGTTCAAAGAGTAACGAGTTATAAAAATTATAATTACGATAAAGAATTAATTTTATATTGATTCCAATCTGTCCTGACCAGAAGATGGACACTATTTCAGTATTTAAACGGCTCGGATATATATGTATGTGTATATCTTCGAAAACATCGAAAACATCTGTAAAATGTTTTGACATGTAATGGTTAATTTTTTTATTTTTTTTATTAAATCAAAGAAAACTGGATTTCATGGGGGAAATGTTTACATTGAAAATATTTCTGAACAATTCTTGATTTTATTGATTACGTATGTGGAGTATAAAGCACTGCAGTATGCTCTACTAAATAGCTGCATGTTTTTGTGATCGTAGGTGAGCGCCAGGACAGCCATCATAGACTTCACTGTTACTATGAAAGGTTTGGAGGACCAGCTACTAGGCCGTGTCATCATGACCGAGAAAAACGTAGGTTATCCCTCACTGTGGTCAAGGACAGCGTAGGTTATCCCGCATTGGTCAAGGACAGAAAAACGTAGGTTATCCCTCACTGTGGTCAATGACAGCGTAGGTTATGCCTCACTGTGGTCAAGGACAGCGTAGGTTATCCCTCACTGTGGTCAATGACAGCGTAGGTTATCCCTCACTGGTCAAGGACAGAAAAACGTAGGTTATCCCTCACTGTGGTCAAGGACAGCATAGGTTATCCCTCACTGTGGTCAAGGACAGCATAGGTTATCCCTCACTGTGGTCAAGGACAGCGTAGGTTATCCCTCACTGTGGTCAAGGACAGCGTAGGTTATCCCTCACTGTGGTCAAGGACAGCGTAGGTTATCCCTCACTGTGGTCAAGGACAGCGTAGGTTATCCCTCACTGTGGTCAAGGACAGCGTAGGTTATCCCTCACTGTGGTCAAGGACAGCGTAGGTTATCCCTCACTGTGGTCAAGGACAGCGTAGGTTATCCCTCACTGTGGTCAAGGACAGCGTAGGTTATCCCTCACTGTGGTCAAGGACAGCGTAGGTTATCCCTCACTGTGGTCAAGGACAGCGTAGGTTATCCCTCACTGTGGTCAAGGACAGTGTAGGTTATCCCTCACTGTGGTCAAGGACAGCGTAGGTTATGCCTCACTGTGGTCAAGGACAGCGTAGGTTATCCCTCACTGTGGTCAAGGACAGAAAAATGTAGGTTATCCCTCACTGTGGTCAAGGACAGCGTAGGTTATCCCTCATTGTGATCAAGGACAGAAAAACATAGGTTATCCCTCACTGTGGTCAAGGACAGAAAAACGTAGGTTATCCTCACTGTGGTCAAGGACAGTGTAGGTTATGCCTCACTGTGGTCAAGGACAGCATAGGTTATCCCTCACTGTGGTCAAGGACAGAAAAACATAGGTTATCCTCACTGTGGTCAAGGACAGTGTAGGTTATGCCTCACTGCGGTCAAGGACAGCGTAGGTTATCCCTCACTGTGGTCAAGGACAGAAAAGCGTAGGTTATGCCTCACTGTGGTCAATGACAGCGTAGGTTATCCCTCACTGTGGTCAAGGACAGAAAAATGTAGGTTATCCCTCACTGTGGTCAAGGACAGCGTAGGTTATCCCTCATTGTGATCAAGGACAGAAAAACATAGGTTATCCCTCACTGTGGTCAAGGACAGAAAAACATAGGTTATCCTCACTGTGGTCAAGGACAGTGTAGGTTATGCCTCACTGCGGTCAAGGACAGCGTAGGTTATCCCTCACTGTGGTCAAGGACAGAAAAACGTAGGTTATCCCTCACTGTGGTCAATGACAGAAAAACTTAGGTTATCCCTCACTGTGGTCAAGGACAGAAAATGTAGGTTATCCCTCACTGTGGTAAAGGACAGAAAAACATAGGTTATCCCTCACTGTGGTCAAGGACAGAAAAACTTAGGTTATCCCTCACTGTGGTCAAGGACAGAAAATGTAGGTTATCTCTTACTGTGGTCAAGGACAGAAAATTGTAGGTTATCCATCACTGGTCAAGGACAGAAAAACGTAGGTTATCCCTAACTGGTCAAGAACAGAAGAACATAGGTTATCCCTCACTGTGGTCAAGGACAGAAAAATGTAGGTTATCCTATAACCCTCACTGTGGTCAAGGACAGAAAAAAGTAGATTATCCCTCACTGTGGTCAAGGGCAGAAAAACGTAGCTTATCCCTCACTGTGGTCAAGGACAGAAAAACGTAGGTTATCCTATAACCCTCACTGAGGTCAAGGACAGAAAAACATAGGTTATCTCTCACTGAGGTCAAGGACAGAAAAACATAGGTTATCTCTCACTGGTCAAGGACAGAAAAACATAGATTATCCCTCACTGTGGTCAAGGACAGAAAAACGTAGGTTATCCTTTAACCCTCACTGTGGTCAAGGACAGAAAAAACATAGGTTATCTCTCACTGGTCAAGGACAGAAAAACAGATTATCCCAGACTCAGGTCAAGGACAGAAAAACGTAGGTTATCCCAGACTCATGTCAAGGACAAGTATAACTTTACTTTTCCTTTGGTTGCTGCTTGTTTTGTTGTAATGTTTTGAATATGTTGATTTAGGAACAACTTGTAATGGTCAGGTAAATTTAATCACTTGCATATTGAGTAGAGAAAATAATAGATATCAGTATAGCTGCTAAAACTGTGGCTCATACTTCTTTACACTGTTCTTGAATATGAAGCAATTTGAACGGGAAAGGGTTGAATAGAAAGCCGTGTATTAGACCCACTGATGTTAACATTGGAGTAAGCCGGGTGTGTTTGTGTGTACAGGAACTGGAGGCTGACCGTGCCAAGCTCATGTTAGACGTTACTGTGAACAAGAGGAAGATGCAGGAGCTGGAGGATAATCTACTGTACAAACTCACCAGCACAAAGGTCTGTCACTTTATAGGTAGCATTCTTAACACAACCTTAAACTTTGAAGTCTTTAACTTTATTTGTGATACAAGGACATAGCAATGGATGGTGTTATTTGATGATAATAATTCATGTATGAAGCATTTAAAACCTGAATTTAAGTACAAAACATGGATAGAAAATCCTCTAAATTACTTACTTTTGCATAATTCCTATACTCCTATATGTTTTTTAACGGAAAGTGAGTAGACACCCCTGATGTGGTTAAAAGTAGTTGTGATTGCAATATGTATCTGTTCTCACAGTACATACAAATATTCAGAATGGCGAGAAATTGCTCTGCATGAAGAATATCAAAAAGTCTAACTGGAAATTCGCAAGTTTATGCCACTTCTTGTATTTCAAAAAGTGTACAAATATTTTGACAGGGCTCCCTTGTGGACGATGAGTCCCTCATACAGGTACTGTCCAACACGAAGGTGACCGCAGCAGAGGTCAGTGAAAAGTTGACTGTGGCTGCAGAAACTGAGATAAAGATCAACGAAGCCAGAGAGGAGTACAGACCTGGTAAAGTCATAGTGATGTGCACTGTAGTCCGTGATGTGTACATGTGTACTGTAGTCATAGTGATGTGTACTGTAGTCCGTGATGTGTACATGTGTACTGTAGTCATAGTGATGTGTACTGTAGTCATAGTGAACACAAAACGTGTCATGAGAAGTCATAACTCATATGTACTGTAGTGATTATATTTTTGCTGTAGATTGATCCTTGAAAAACGTAATCTATGAATTCCAAAATTTCTCAATTTTTTGTCAAACAAATAGGTTCAGTAATGTAGGTGATACAGTACAAGTTTTGTGCAAGTGCTTCGCAGTAAGATCTATGTTTCATTGTCACAATAACATCTTGAAGCTGTAGGATTTTTAATTTTTTAAGTATTGGACTCTTAAAAGCTAAGACACTGTACTGATCTATTTCTCCAAAGTCATTTTCTTCTTTTTAAAAAATAACATCAACCTCATATTGCACAGATAATAAGGGTTAATTATCATTTTGTCATTTGTTAGATGATCTATCTATTCACACTGTGTGTTCCATGATCAATCTATTCACACTGTGTTTACATTTGACAGTGGCCACACGAGGTAGCATCTTGTATTTCCTGATCTGTGACATGAGCATGGTCAACAAGATGTACCAGACTTCCCTCAAACAGTTCCTTGGCCTGTTTGACATCTCCATGCATAAGTAAGACAACAGTATCAACAAAACGTTCATTTATAATTAGTTAAGGTCAGCATTTTGTTTCTTAGATAGTATTTAATGCAAGGAAAGGAGAACTTCCTTCTATATGAAGATTTTAGCCATAGAATTCATGAATTTTAAACTGAAGTAGGGCCATTTAGTTATGAAATTCATGATGAAATGTCTATACATTTCATTTTATAGTAAATGGTATTAGCTATAATGGGAAACTGCAACCTGTGGTATTTAGTGTGAAAAAGTTCATATTATCCTCGACAATAGCCTGTTGTTTTGTTACTGCCTTGGTGTGGAGTCATTATCACTGGTTGGTTTAGAAGCCTGAAAATAAACATGTCTGAGACTCTTAATGTTTTAAATTAAAATGCATGCAAATGCAATTGACAGAGTTACATGGCTGATTATTATGTTTGATTTCCTCGCTAATTTCAGGTCTGAAAAGAGCCCAGTCCCAGCCAAAAGAATTCATAACATCATAGAGTTCCTGACGTTTGAGGTGTTCCGCTACACCTGTCGTAGTCTGTATGAGGAACACAAGTTCCTCTTCACTTTGCTAATAACCTTCAAGATCAACATACAGAAGGGACAGGTCAGACCTGAGGAGTTCCAGACTTTCATCAAAGGTACAAATCTCACTTAACCCTCTCAACACTGTAGATCATAATGGACTCGTCCAGATCAATTTATGGAAGAGTTTATTAAAGTTTTATTAAAGGGGTGAAAGGGTTAATGATCTGTATACAGGTGAACATTGTCACCTTTCTTGTTTATCCCACTCTAAAGTTAATTCTCCATTAATAAAGCAATATATCATTTTGAAAGATTGCATTGGTCACTGTATTCGTAGATAACGTTCCATGGCAGCTGCTTTGTTTTTCTTGCTCAATTCATGTTATCTAAAAACTTTTTATCACAGTCATTAATAAAACATCAGTATTTGCACATTGTTACATCCTCCCCTTACTTAACATATTATTAGTTACACAGATTTTTGGCAGGGTATACGGGATGGTATGACCATAAAGGGTTTCTGTAGGGTCATACCATCCCGTATACCCTGACAAAAATCTGTGTAACGAATTTATAACCACTCTGAGTCAACTTTTCTGTTGTCCAGATAAAAATGGTACAGTACCTCATTTAGTTTCGTTTTATCAGCGAAGCATACGACGAATGCGAGTTGTCTCCTGTTGCCCGGCCGCAAGACACAAAGACACGTGACCCGTATACCCCTTGTAAAATCACGTTATTCCACCGTATAACTGCTGAGAATCATGTGACATGACCGTATACCCCCTGAGATTTACGAATGCGGTTTGGTACACTGTAGTTTTTAACCAATCAGATTCCTAGATTTTTCTCAAAGCCAAAGGGGTAATAAGACATGTTATATCCTCCCCTTACTTAACCCTTAGGCTGCTACATTAAAATTGATTTCTATGTAAAGGGACACCACTGCTGGATTAATTATTGAAATTTAAATTAATTTACTTGAATTTTTAAATGTGCATAACTTGAAAAATATTTGTTATATGTGAAAAAAAGTTATAAGAGAATTTGTTTGTTGTTGTATTGCGTTTATGTTAACGTTTTCAATTCTAAAGTTGCTTCAGTATTTAACTGTACAGGTGGTAATAAAGGTAAGAAAAGGTGAAACTTTTTATTAATCGTATTTAAGCAAAAGAAAAATCATTTTAAAATTATTTTTGTCCGCAAATGTGATTGGCAAATGATAACAGAGATTGTAAACTTCATTTTTGACAAAGGCGCTGTACATTTACACGGAGTTTCTCAGGTAAAAAGGTCTGGTATTTTGTCAAGAATTGCATGTGATTTGCTACAGGTTTTAGGTCGTTATTCAATATATTTATTGTCACAGTTGGCATATAGATATATCTTGGCTACGGTCTAGTTTATGATTAAATCATCGATAAAAAGTTTGAAGAATTAAATCGGCTCAAAACGTATCAATGTCAATGTTCAATTTGGCCTCACCTGCTGACGACATGTGCGCCTTAGTCCGCCAATATTTTCCTGTTTGTGTAGGGCACAAAGCCGTTCATTGGTAAGTTATATATTATGTTACACCGAAGTATTTCCACATCAACCACGTCAAACCCTTCAAAACCTTTATTATCATCGTAGGTGATGCTGGAGAATAAATTTTTACCATCATATTCATCGCTTCAATATACATGTCCGCCATTTTTATGACTTTTTTTTTCGATTTGAAATTCTCTCGCACACCTTTGGTCATTACTAGCGTACACTGCCGGGAATATCGAAAGTAATGACAAAACAACCAATCAGAAGCCTTCTACTATACATGTTGGGGTTTGGTATAGCAACAACAGACTTCACACTTTCTGGCTACCGATCAAAACCTACAGACCGAGAAACGGCATATGCCGTGCGTAGCAGCCTAAGGGTTAACATATGACGTGTTACATCCTCCCCTTACTTAACATATGACATCCTGGTCATGTACAAAAGCTAACTTCCCTGGTATAATCAATCATATAATTCACAACTTAAGGGAGCATGCTAAATAAATTTTAGAAACTACATGTTCCAAAATACAAGGCAGAATACAAGTAATATAACAATATTACAAATACCACAAACTGATACAATAATGTAATTCATGTATCTGTAAGAACAATATCCAAGCCGAAAACTCACACTGTTCCAAAGATACTGTTAATCAGAACTTGAGCTACATCCGGTGACACTCTTGTTAAGATACCCTGCTGTGCCAGCGTCTCCAATAATGCCATCCGGGAACTCCAAGTTGTCATATCCTGGGACGATGATACCTGCTGCCTAAAAACATGATCTTTGCCAAGTGGGCTGTACTCGCTGTCTGGTGCTTTATCTAGAACCATCCACAACCCTCTCAACTTCCTGATCCTGTTGTTCTCCCCCAACTAAAGGACATTCTCCTCCGGAGAGCTGGTCCTCACAAGAAGAGCCAACAACATCAACCTCCTCAGCAACAACACTTGGTCGTCTTGGTTCTGAAGGGGGATCACTTCCACAGGTTATCAGAAGGTACTGGTCCCTCTGAGTAATGTGAATCAACTCCTACGGTACGGGCATATTGGTAAACATAGTAGTCATCGTCATCTCGTGAACACTCTGTGGCAACACCGATTTCGTTCAGCATTTCGCTGGAATGGGTCTCTTATATAGTGAACCTTTTGGAAGGAGATTGTTGGGGTGAAGTGTTGGTTTCCTTCTCCGGATTCCACTTGTGCTATGTACATAGGAATGTCCTTGTTGGTTGTTTAAGTACTCTGTATATTGATTTTCCCAGATTACCGATAGCTTGTGTTTCCCTTCAAATGATAATATTTTGACGTAGCACCTCTCTGTTTCCTGTCATATTGCACTTTCTGTCAGTCTTTAGCCTTGTGAGCTAAGGTTGATGCCAGCTGGTATGAATCCTTCAACCTTTTTGCCTTGAGGAGGTTATCAACCTATTCAGATAGCGATGATGTTGAGTCGCTGTCTATAGGGAACGCTATGTCTACTGGTAACTATGGCTCCCTGCCAAACAACTGATGAAATGGTGAAAGTCATGGCGAGTGCAATTATACACATGCACTAAAGAAGAGATATGAGATATATATCCACCTGATGATAACCAGACTTAATGTCTAAGATGGTGAAATACTTACAAGCAGTCTGAGCGTCCAGTATCTCCTATATCCTTGGAAGTGCATAGAAGTCCTTATGGTCCTGTCATTCAATTCTCTGAAACTTACACACATCCTTAACTGTCCTTCTTTCTTGCACATTAATGCAATAGGCGAAGCCCAAGGACTATGAGACGGTCGTATGATTACATTATTTGTCAGCTGATGCAGATAATTCCTGACCTCCTCATACATGGACGGTTAGATACGTCGATGTCTCTGCTTGAAAGGAGTGGGATTCCTCAACATGATGAGATGCCAAATCCAATGTGCTTATCATTGTGGGAGAACACATCTTCAAACCCAGCCAGGATGTTCCTAACTCCTTCAACGTTATCCCCTGAGAGGGTACCAGAGCCAATATCAAATTTCTCCAATATGTCATCAAACTGCTGACGCAATTCCTCAGTCTCCGCATCTTTCGTATCCTCAATATTGATGGGGGGATCTCACAGAGAACCTCTTGGGATGCAATGACCATAGTCTGGTGTTGGACATGTTGAATAGCTGGACATTTAAACTCCTCGTCCGTTTGTAGCGAGAATTCATCATAGCGGGATTCAAGTCTTAAGTGACTGAGAAGTAATACAGTCCCTTGCTGGCTGTAATAAGACACATGTTGGATGATAAGGTATCTCCTTGTCGACATATGACTTAACCACTATAGAGCTGTTTGGAGCCACACTGATGTTCTTCTCCTCAGAACGTCTCACAATACCAAGTCTAAAGTTGTTCCTAGCCAGATTTCTCCCTTAGACTGAGACATCTAAATGCCAGAAACCAAGGTGTATAAAGGTCAGTTTCCTGCAGAAATCTAACATCATACTGCTGGCGACAACCATCTAACAGTACTGACAGTATGTTGGTACCAAATGTCTGGGTATAAGGTTAAATAGGTCCTTTGGGATTCATTTTTGCTATTTTTTACTGTACATTGAAATTGCATAGAGAAATGTATTGGAAGGATATTAAAATGGTCGCATAAGGAAGATGGTCGCTGAATAAAAGTTATCACATGAGCAGATTCTACTGTATAGACGGTATTCAACAGGTCAATTGTTAAAAATATTTTATTTATAAGGGCCCTGCATTGGTGACAAAGGTGCCTCATAACAATCATTGTGTCCATCTGTATGCCAAACTTTCATTTCTGTAGATTATCTCTGAACCTGAAAGTCTGAGATTTGACATGGTGATACACTGACATTAAATGTGCAGTAGGAGTTTCAAACATGTCTATACAGGTCACTGTTACTAAGTTTTGACCAGTGAACTGATAAGTTTGATCAGCATAGTGATGGTCTGTTGACAGGTGGTGCTGCCTTGGACCTGAACGCTGTGACCCCTAAACCAGCACGGTGGATTATGGACGTGACATGGCTCAATCTCGTACAGCTCAGTGGACGCCCCCAGTTCAGTGAAATTCTTAATCAGGTACTGGCCTTTTTCACAGTTACAGTGAGTGTCCCGCCCCAATGGAAATCTGAACCAGACTAGGTCAATATTAGCATAAATATCATATTACTTTATAGTTTTGATGGGTGTAATTAATAACAGGTATGTCCTAGTATTTTCCCTTTTGAAAATGCACGGGCACCTTTGGGAGTAGGAAGAAAATATTCACTGAAAGGATTAAGCTTGCCAAATCAAAATGGGAAAGATTACCAGACATTGCATCACTTACATATATATATATCATGAATAAACAATTCCCCTGATGAAGAGGAGAAAGCACTAGGGAAGTCGAAGAAACTCTGGTCTTTAATTATTTTTTATGTATATTTATATATACGTATGGTAATCTAGTCCTAAAACATTTACAAGATGTTCATTGTGAGTAACAAAGGAAAGGGAGAGTAAGGAAACAGACTTAATGCTATAATGTCTCTGTTTGTGAAGGTATCTCGTAATGAGAAAGCCTGGAAGGCATGGTTTGACACCGAGGCTCCAGAGGAGGAACAGGTCCCAGATGGTTATAGTGCCTCGCTCGACTCCTTCCGCAAACTGATGCTCATAAGGTACTGTTGACGTTCCAGTTACTCCACACCTTTTTAAGCCCCCCAAAAGTGAAACGTTATTATGTCATCACTCTGTCCATCCATCTGTTTACATACATTCTGACTGCAATGAGTACCAAGGTTGTTGACCAGATGTATTTAAAATTTTGTGTTGGTGTGCGATGAGAAACATAAGAAGATTTACATTTCATGAAAAGTGAAAGGTGTATTAAATCTTCAATGATTTGGCCCCTCAATCCTGCAGCACATTTTAACTGTATACAGGCAAAGGAGGGAACCCTAGGATAAATTTTGTAAACCAGTAAACAAGAAATAGCAAAGAACCATGCCTTCTTTTTGGCTCGTAAATTAAAATATGCTTTTCCATTTCAACATATCCAAGAAATAAATTAACGTACCTGAGTAATAAAGTATTACATTGTTGTTTCTTGTAATATTACATTTTATTACAAGAATGCATCAGAAATTTACCAAGTATGACATATAGAACTTAATTTGAAAAAAAGTAATGAAAAAACATGGTATTTCTTGGAAATCTCATTGAAAGTGCTATTGTAGAAACCTTGCAGTTCAAAAAACATAACCGTTTATAATGAAAACAGTAAACAACAGGTTTCTTTTTACCAATGTATTGCCAGTATTTAATGCTCGGTGTTATATTGGAGAGCCAAAACAGATGTATGGAAAATATGGGCAAATTTTGTCTGCCACTGTTACTTATCAGGATTTCTGTAATTATTTGATACACAAGGAGCTAACAATTACCTCTTGTTCAATTTTTTTCCTGGGAGTCCGATAAGTATAATATTTGTCACTTGGCTTTTGTGCATGTGCTGATCAAATTGAATTTATCTAGTTGACTCCAAAAGATAAAGTTTATAGAGTTGAAGAAGACGATGTAGTGATTCCAATCAGCTGTTTGTAGATCATGGTGTCCTGACAGAACAATTCCTCAGGCCAGAAAGTTTATAGGGGACGCGATGGGACAGCAGTACGCTGAACCTGTTATCCTCAACATGGAGACGACATGGGGCGAGAGTGACAACCGAACACCTTTGATCTGTCTGCTGTCCATGGGCTCCGACCCCACCAATCAAATAGAGGGACTCTGTAAGAAACAAAACCTAGGTAAGTCTGCAGTCCCTGAGCTCCGACCCCACCAACCCATAAGAGGGGCTCTGTAAGAAATTAAACCTAGGTAAGTCTGCAGTTCATAGGCTCCGACCCCATCAATCAAATAGAGGGGCTCTGTAAGAAACTAAACCGAGGTAAGTCTGCAGTTCATAGGCTCCGACCCCACCAACCCTTTAGAGGGGCTCTGTAAGAAACTAAACCTAGGTAAGTCTGCAGTCACTGGGCTCCGACCCGACCAACCCTTAAGAGGGGCTCTGTAAGAAACTAAACTTATAGGTAAGCCTACTGTCCATGGGCTCCGACCCCATCAACCCGATAGAGGGTCTCTGTAAGAAACTAAACCTAGGTAAGTCTGCAATCCATGGGCTCCGACCCCACCAACCCGATAGAGGGGCTCTGTAAGAAATTAAACCTAGGTAAGTCTGCAGTCCCTGGGCTCCGACCCACCAACGCTTTAGAGGGGCTCTGTAAGTCACTTACACATAGTTAAGCCATGGGGCCAGCGTGGCTGTTCATTTTTGACCCCACCAGTCTGATAGAGCGGCCTCTGTAAGTCACTTACACATAGTTAAGCCATGGGACCAGCGTGGCTGTTCATTTTTGACCTCACCAGTCTGATAGAGCGGCCTCTTTAAGTCACTTACACATAGTTAAGCCATGGGACCAGCGTAGCTGTTCATTTTTGACCCCACCAGTCTGATAGAGTGGCCTCTGTAAGTCACCTTACTTAGGTATTAGCAGCAACTAGACTGAGATGGCAGTTTTTTAATGCCTATTCTATGGTCATTGTAGAAAACACCAAAACCATTTAAACTAAAATTATGATAAATTACGACAATTGTCCCTTCACCCGTCCTGTTTGTAACTTTGTTAGGTTTTATTATGGATTAACTTTTTACATTTTCGACTTCTTCTCAAGAACCAGTAGATGGAATTTTTTTAAACTTGGTCAAAATCATCCTTGGTGCATGAGGCCACAAAATTGTAAAATTTGGATACCTAACCCAATCCCAGGGCTGGGCCCTGAAGGAAAAATTAACCAATGTTTCAAAAATCTTCTTCTCCAGACTCAGAGGTACTACAGTCAATTTCTCTGCATTTATGAAAAGATCATCAGGGACTTTATTAAAATTGTCAAACTCAGTACCCCCAGGCCATCCGTTCTCCCTTGGGGAGGGGGTTAAGGTAACTACTGGTATACTGGTAGGTTATATAGGGAAATAAAACTTTTGGGTATATTTTGTTAATTTTCTGCAGGAAATTATTCTTACTTGGTCAGAATCATCCTTGAAGGAATTGGTATCAAATTGTAAAATTGTGATTTCTACCCTAACCCTAAGCGGCCAGGGCAGGGCCCCAAAGGGAAAATATTTTACCAATATTTAAAAAAAAATGTAGAACGATCAAATTCTGTGCATGGATTAAAATTCCATCAGGCTTTATCTATTTTATGTCCCCTTACCGGTGAAACGGGGGGNGTGCTCTAGCGTCTTTATTCCTTGAAGGATTTTAATCAAACTTCACACAAATTCAAAGGACCATAATAACTCAGTCTAGTTCGAATTTCAGGGTTGTTGGGTCAAGTTCAAGGTCACATTTAAGACTGTAAAACCTCAACATGGCCTTGACTGAGGTCAATGTTAATGTCTTTTTAACATTTCAGAGTTCAGAGCTATTTCCATGGGGCAAGGACAGGAAGTTCATGCCAGGAAACTTATCAGCCTCTTCATGCAAACTGTGAGTATTCTGTATCATAAGTGTAGTAAGAAGGGTATAAACAGCCGGAGAATTTCACCCTATACTGCTGGCAGTTGCTGTGTTCTAAAGTTGGTATGACATACCATTACCACTAACATTAATATTGATGACTCGGACCTTAAGGGAACAAGAGATACAATTAAGACTGAACGTAACTCTTGTACATCTAACATAATGAGTACTAGCACAACTGCCACAATATTAGGATTGTGTTTTGTCAAGTTTGTCCATCTTGAAGCTATCCTACTGTAAGGTTCTTTTAAGCTGCATCACCAGTCTACCAGTAAAGTCTTACAGAGTTCAGAGACTGGACCTGGAACAAGCAGTACAGTTGTGTGGTTGTTTTGTTTGCCAGGGTGGTTTTGCCATGCTGCAGAACTGCCATCTTGGTCTCGACTTCATGGATGAGTTACTGGAGACAATCGTGGATACACAGCATGTCCACGAGGACTTCCGAGTGTGGATCACAACAGAGGTCCATCCTGCCTTCCCCATCAGTCTTCTACAGGTATACTTCATCCGCACAATACTCCACTCATAAACGTCTTAATGTGTTATCATGTTGGCACACAGCAAGGTTAAAGTACAATGGAAGTGTAAAATATGAATAAATTAACAGAATCCTTCCCAACAAGGAAGGTATATATATATGACTGAGCAATTTTAACCTGAGGGGTGATGTTCCTGTGTCACCAAAGGCTTGCTTCAAGCCACGGGTTTAGACATTCAACAATCTAACCTCAAGGGTTTAGACATTCAACAATCTAACCCCAAGGGTTTAGACATTCAACAATCTAACCCCAAGGGTTGACATTTCTCTGGAATACCCTCACCACCATTGGTGATGGATTTTGTTCACCCATCTTTTCAATAATACACATGTGTGTTAAAAATTATAAATGGATATCAGTATTATTTATTCTCTGCCCTATTGAAAACTGATTATGACACCACATTTTATTGTGGCTTTGATGTTGCACTACGGTATTTTTCCTTTCCATTGTTATAAGACATTAGTCAATATGCTAAATGTCATACCCATGGGGGTGGCATAGAAAATTTAGAATATGTAGAACTGGAAACAAACATGTGCCAGGGGTATAGATCCTTCAGTAATAGGCTGAGTTGTGATTTCTTATGCTATTATTTAAGACAAATAGGAAAATAGGAGTGAAGTATCATATGAATGAGTGACTGCACCAGATGTAAGTCAAGCATACAAAATACGAGAATGATAAAGTCTGATTACAATTATAGTGAGTTACCAGTGTAGAATCAATCATAAAACATGAAGTGTTTTCTGATTCCCATCACTACAGCAATCCCTTGCTTGGCCTCAACTTTGGGTAATCTTCATATCCTTGCTTAGCTTTAATTTGTTGTTGCAGTGTTCCATCAAGTTCACCAACGAACCACCACAGGGCATCAAGGCAGGTCTGAAGCGTACGTACGCAGGCATCACACAGGACTATCTGGATATCAATACCATGATGCAGTGGAAGCCCATGTTATTTGGGGTCTCCTTCATCCACACCGTGGTACAGGTAAATTGACAAGTCAACGATCATAAAACTGTTATTCGGGTTCACCTTCCTCCACCGTGGTACAGGTAAATTGACAAGTTAACAATCATAAAACTGTTATTTGTGTTCACCTTCCTCCAACGTGGTACAGGTAAATTGACAAGTCAACGATCATAAAACTGTTATTCGGGTTCACCTTCCTCCACCGTGGTACAGGTAGACTTGACAAGTCAACGATCATAAAACTGTCATTCGGGTTCACCTTCCTCCACTGTGGTACAGGTAGACTTGACAAGTCAACGATCATAAAACTATCATTCGGGTTCACCTTCCTCCACTGGTACAGGTAGACTTGACAAGTCAACGATCATAAAACTGTTAATTGGTATCTCCTTGCACACTATGATATTAACGTGAATTTGTTTACAATAAACCTTTATGACCTGTACATCAAGCTGTGACACACTCTCAGGTTTAAGAAATGTCTAATTTTTGTGCTTCAGCTACCTTTTTGTAGGCTATATATATATATATAGCACTAAATATTTTCTGTGTTGTAAAGAATCACTTGTATAGAAGGTAAAAACATCATATTATTTTCACTTATTGATTTGCAGGAGAGGAGAAAGTTTGGACCACTTGGTTGGAACATTCCTTACGAATTCAACTCATCTGATTGGACAGCCAGTGTCCAATTTGTTCAGAACCATCTTGACGACATAGACCCCAGAAAGGTACAAAAGAATGAGCATTTAAAATATTATGTAGGGCTGTTAGGGACACAGAATTTCAGCCCCAGGTACCTGTTTAGCTATTACTGGCCTCATATTGCTGGGTAAATTTAACTTTTTAAGTCAAGTTATGTTTTTAAAACCTACTCCTTAAGGTTGAGAAAAGGGATTTTAAGCTGTAACCTCATTAGGTCTAGGGATTGAAACCATATTTGGTGCGGATCATCCTTCGGCAAAGGGGACTCATTGATGAAGGAGGAGGCTCAATAGGGGAAATATAATTAAATTTTCATTCTTTCATTATGGGTAAAGTGACATTATTCAAATTGACATAACTTGACAAAGTCAATATTATCTGTGATTGTACAGGGAGTCAATATTATCTGTGATTGTACATAGAGTCAATACTATCTGTGATTGTACAGGGAGTCAATATTATCTGTGATTGTACAGGGAGTCAATACTATCTGTGATTGTACAGGGAGTCAATACTATCTGTGATTGTACAGGGTGTCAATACTATCTGTGATTGTACAGGGTGTCAATATTATCTGTGATTGTACAGGGTATCTCGTGGAACACTGTGAGGTACATGTTAGGAGAGGTCCAGTATGGAGGCAGAGTTACTGACGATTATGACAAGCGCCTTCTCAACACATTTGGAAGAGTAAGTTAATGACCTTCGTACACTTACTTTATGAACAAAAATTTCAGGTATTATTTCATCATATTCATCGTTAAAATTGTACATATATGTATTGTTCAAAGATTATATAGTATTCTTTGTATCCTTAATACTTTCTGGCTATAAGTTTTGATGGTTTTGGATCTAATAACTTGTCAGACAAAATTCCAGTTTCGATACTTCTACATATAAAATGTGCGACTAATCACAGACCTTAACACATTGTTGTTCGTGATCCTGTTTTGTATAGGTGTGGTTTGGAGACTTCATGTTCCTCGACAGTTTCCAGTTCTATATCGGCTACAAGATCCCTAAAGTGAAGAGCATTGATGACACAATGGCTTTCATAGAAAACCTGCCATTGGTGGACTCGCCGGAGGCCTTAGGTCTTCACACCAACGCTGACATCACGTACGATATATCACAAATGACAAGGGTTTCACAAACTGTTATTGTTCCAGTAAATAATTTACAAAGTGTCATCATTATACTCCGGATTTTGGCAGTTTTTTGTCCCATCCGAATCTCGAAAAGGTCTAAGATTGTTTTCTTAAATCAAAGAATGTGATTTTTGCAGACACCTTTCTCTATATCGAGTGGTTTCCTCTTTATATGCACAATGTTAAATGGGACCTTTGTAACTGGGCTATGGTGATGTCTGTCTGGCTTGTTTTGGCCAATGTGGTGAGAATTGTTTAATGTATGCAACTCCAAACTATACAACGAGATGTTATTTGGAGGGAAATGTACAGTAATTAGGTCACTGTAACCTACTTTTATGGCCATGAAAACAATTGCTTGTTTGGACCATATCTTATACATTTTAACGTGATTCAAATGTGACGAGACATCGCAATTACTTTTTAGGTCACCTGAGACAAAGTCTCAAGTGACCTATTGCGATTGCCTTTTGTCCGGGGCATCCGTCGTGCGTTCATAAACAATTTTAATTTTCAACTTCTTCTCCAAAACCCCTGAACCAATTTCAATGAAATTTTGCAGAAACCTTCCATGGCCAAAGGTCAACTAAAATTGTGAATTATATGGTCCCCAGCCCCCAGGGGCCTGAGGGGCTGGGCCAAAAAGGGTAAAATTGACTGAAATTTCAAAAATCTTCTCAAGATCCAGATATGGTAGAATAGATGGAAGGGTCTTAAGGTGCTTTACTAAAATTGTGAGTTTCTTGACCCTAGGGTCTCACGTTTCCCCCTGGGAGTAAACTTTACTATAGTTTATATAGGGAAATCACATTTGGGACCAACATTTGTTTCATTTCCATTGGAATTTATTCAAACTTTGTTAGCATTATCAGTATTGGATAGCAGTTTGATGGTATACACATATCAGCCCTGACCGACCCCCAGGGGCTGATGGGTGGGGCAAAAAAGGGTCGTATTGACTGAAATTTCATAATCTTCTTCTCAAGACCAGATATGGTAGAATCAAATACTCTTCATAGATGGAAGGGTTTTTAGGTGCTCTACCAAAATTGTGAATTTACCCTAGGGTCTCACGTTTACCCCTGGGGAAGGAGAGGGGGGGGGGGGTTGTTATGGTTTATAATGGCAAATGATACTCTGAATATTACATGTTGATAACTTGATTGGAATTATAACCCTAAGTTGACAGTTTGATACTTTGAAAATTTTGAGCCATCCCTACCCCCAAGGGCTATAGGGTGGGGCCGGATGAAGTCTGTGTGCTAAAATAAAATTTCTTCATTTTCCTTGTTTAGAATCAGAGGTGCTAGTTAGGGCCCCGTATCAGAGAAATCACAAAAATACACACTCAGATGAAAAGTCAAGGTCAAAGGTCAAGGTCATAAGGTTCAAAGGTCCAGGTCAAATTTTGCACCTTTTCACTGAGGAGCATTTTGTTATGACATGATGAAGCAAAGTTGATCAGAATTAAACAAGGAGTCAACCGACTCAAGGTCAAATTTTGTAGCTTTTCACTAATGAGCATTTTATATCATTATGAAGCAAAGTTGGTCGAAACTAAACAGAGACACACTGAGGTAAAAGGTCAAGGTCATTAGGTTCAAAGGTCAAGGTCTATTTTTGTATTTTTTCACTGATAAACATTTTGTTATGACACTATGAAGCAATGTTGGTCAGAATTAAATAAGGAGTCAACTGAACAAAAGTCAAGGTCATTGGATCAATGGTCAAGGTTAAATTTTGTATCTTTCCACTGGTGAATATTTCGTTATGATGCTTTGAGCAATGTTGCTCAGAATTAAACAAGGAGTCAATTGACAAAAGGTCAAGGTCACTGGGTCAAAGGTCAGGGTCAAATTTTGTATCTTTTCCCTGATGAACATTTTGTTATGACATTATGAAGCAAAGTTGGTCGGAATTCAACAAAGAGTCGACTGACTTATGGTCAAGGTCACTAGATCAAAGGTCAAGGTCAAATTTAGTATCATTTAACTGATGAACATTTTGTTATGACACTATGAAGCAATGTTGGTCAGAATTAAACAAGGAGTCAACTGACCAAAGGTCAAGGTCAGCACCGAGTCAAATGACCTAAGGTCAAGGTAACGAGGTCCAAAGGTTCAAGGTCAAGTTTTGTATTTTTCACTGATGGACATTTTGTTATGATATTATGAAGCAAAGTTGGTCGGAATCAAAGATCAGGGTCACTAGGTGAAAGGTCAAGGTCATTTGCATCCAAAGGTCAAAGACAAAGTGGATCTCTGACTTTGACCCTGGCTCTTGATGAAGGAGGTATTTAAAGTGAAATAAAATATATCAAAGCGAACAAATGAGTATTGCACCGGTATTTACATTTCTGTTAGCCTAGCAAATATGGAGGTGGAAGGAAACAAGACTCACATCATAGTACATGTTAAATGTATATTTTGCTTCCTTGCAATTCTTTTTGAAGTCCGAATATCAGACGTCAAGCTCAGCTAAATGGGCAGATTGCTTCTTGACGATTATGTCGGATATATTGCCACAAGACGGGGCCCTTACTGACCTGTCAGTGTTCTAGTTTCAAATACTTTCCAGTCTTAAATCTGCATGCTAGATATTGAATAAGGTGGTTTTATTGTTTTTTGTCACTTTGAATAATATTTCTGTTTATGTTAAAAACAAAAATCAACTCTCTGTATAAATATATCAGGTGACCGTTATGGCCCATGTGCCTCTTGTTATAATTAGTTAGCATAATGGTTGTCTACCCACACAGAGAACACCCGTTTAATTCAATAAAGGCTCACTGATGACATAAGCTGTTCTGTGATGGCAATGCTCCTTACACTGAAGTGATGATTTAAGTCTGGTATGCACTGTTTAGGTACCAGACTAACCTGAGTACTTCAGTACTGGAGACGATGATGAGTATCCAACCCAAGGACAGTGGTGGGGGTGCTGGCGAGACCAGGGAGAGTATTGTATACAAGATGGCCTCCGACATGCTCAGCAAACTGCCAGGCAACTACTTACCTCATGAGGTGGGTGTCTGGCTGTAGTCTCATCAAATTTAAAAGGATAAAACAAATCTCAAAACAGTGTTTCTACAAATCTAAACTACCGTACCTAAAAACTGCAAGTCTGTTCAAAAAGATTTAACTAGCCATAGCTTTTAGGATTCTTGTTTACGTTTATCTTTTACCTTTACGTTTCTTTGAGGTAACTTCCTTTGACATGTTTTATCTACCTTTTATTGACTCTGATAACCTCATCTGTGTTGATGGGCTATCAAGGATGCAGTATCTAACGAACTTCATCAAATTCAAAATGGAATCTGAACAGGACAAAAGCTGTGGAGACATTCACACACTTACAATAACAATTGCCTTGTTATAATTTTTTAAGAAAGCATTCCCTGTTTCTGTTTGTGGAGATTTCCTTTCCAAACTCCAGGTAGAAGGTGGTTGCTTTTCCTAGCCTGGATATAAAGCTGAATGTGTTTAGTTATGATATTGGATGCTGCTGTTTGTTCTTTGCTGTTTGTATTAATACACAAGTCTTTTGAGGTGTGAGAGATTCCTGTGTCTAACCCTTTGGTAACACAATCCTTGTACACAGGTACGTGACCGGCTGAGACGCTATGGACACCTGCAGCCCCTCAATATCTTCCTGAAGCAGGAAATTGACCGTATGCAGAGGGTCATTTTTGAAGTTAGGGTCACACTGACAGATCTGAGGCTCGCCATAGACGGAACCATCATCATGAGTGAGGTAAGTGTTATAGACAGCTTCTACCTATCTGATGTAGTGTGAGGCTCGCCATAGACGGAACCATCATCATGAGTGAGGTAAGTGTTATAGACAGCTTCTACCTGTCTGATGTAGTAGTCCTCAAGCCATCAGGTTCTGCTTTGTCTCGGCTATTGTAAAACTCCTATTCTAGTAGATATCTCTTAATGTTGTTCTGCTTTAAAATTTGTGGGTGTGTAAAAGAAATGTTCTATTGACTATGCCAAGCTAGGAGGTTTCAAAGCTCTGGCCTATATCAATTTTTCCCAATGGTCCATTGTTATGCATGTTTTCTTAAAGAGACATGATTGGAGAAAAAAAGATGGCCTCTAGACACCCATCTTGAATTTTGGCAGTAAGTGTATTGATTTTCATTGGTCCCAAGTTGTGCATGTTTCATTTTGAGACTGATGAAAAAAACAAAATGGCCGGGCAGCTATCTTGGATTTTGACAGTTCCAAATTGTTATCACCATTTCCCAGGAGTTGAAGACAGATTTTCTCAAATTTCAAATGTGGGTTACACTTGTTACAAATTAAGTACTAGTAAATATATGATGATCAATCGACAAGCTAACTATGAAAAAACAATGTCCTACACAGCAGTACGAGGTTTCCACAAGGTGCATCTACTGTTTACATGACTTAATCCAACAGAGAAAAACTATTTCATAGAACTAATGAACATAGTATTGCGAGAAATTCACTTCTGCAATATCATTGTAAACNATTGACCATAAGAATTCAGTTTGTCACTAGACATGTTCTGAAGACAAGTTTTCAGTGTGTACTTTGAAGGTGAACCGATGTCGGTATGTATGCATCTTCAAGTAATCCTCTAACATTATGGAATTTTTCTGAACTCGATCCAATATTAAAGGAAAGCCAAAATTCTGTACTTGATTGATTTGATAATATTACTTCATACTTATCATTTTATGACTAAAATCTGATATTAAGATAAGGTGAAATGCATTAATTCTACCACTTTGCTTGTCCTTTATTTGAGTTATTTTATCAGTAAAGAGACGTAAGAAATACTGCCCTTCTTTACAGAACCTGCGTGATGCCCTGGACAATATGTTTGATGCACGAGTGCCTAGCCTGTGGAGGAAGATTTCCTGGGCGTCGTCTACTCTAGGATTCTGGTTCACAGAGTTACTGGAGAGGAACGAACAGTTCCATGCCTGGGTGTTTGTAGGTCGGCCTGATGTATTCTGGATGACTGGCTTCTTCAACCCACAAGGTAAGTCGTCAGATAAAGTAAACAAGTTTGTAATGATGCTTCCGATATGATAATGTTCACAGTAGAATCTCTCAAGTCCATATGATTATCGCTTAGCAAAATTTATATATATATGATTTGATAATGTTCTATTTCCTAGATTATTGAAGTCAACTTGTAACTTTTTAGCCCACCATCATAAAATGGTACCTTGGATCACAAGTTTCTTTTCATATTTGGGCTGTCCATCCGCAATTTGTTGTAAAGACTGACATGAAGTTTTAAACAGATTATATTTGTAGATGTGTATCAAGTTGTGGTTGATCAAGAGGATTTTTAACATCTTTGATTGTTGGCAGGTTTCCTGACGGCTATGAGACAGGAGGTGACCCGGGCACACAAAGGCTGGGCCCTCGACTCTGTCACTCTCCACAATGAGGTCATAAGACAGAACAAAGAGGATATCTCAGCAGCACCAGCAGTGAGTCAGCTTTATATTCGCCCTTCGTTATACCTAGTCGCAAAATTATATCATGGTTAAATTGGTGGCTTCTTAAACTTGAAGGGAAGGAAAAATTTGTGCTACTGATTTTCATAAATCTCGTTCTATTCATGCACAAGTGTTTTACTCTGTGTTTATTCAAAAACATCTGGTTAACATTTGTTTGGTCTAAATCTTCCAATTTCAGCAATAATAGAAGGAATTTTGTTTAGATTCCTCATTACAAAAATGAAAGTGTTAATGCAACACCAGTCTATAATCTTACCAGTAATAATACCAAAGGACAAAAAATATTGGTTTCCTTTTTACACATAGTGTCTGGTACATGTAAGTTTAAAGGAATGTTTTCTGCCCCACAGGAGGGAGTGTTTGTGTATGGCCTTTTCCTGGACGGTGCCGCATGGGACAGGAGGAACAGTCGTCTGTGTGAATCCACACCCAAAGTACTGTTCACCGCCCTGCCAGTTGTCCACATGTTCGCCATCAACTCTACTGCAGCCAAGGACCCGCGTCTGTATCAGTGTCCTGTCTACAAGAAACCTAACCGCACAGACCTCACCTATATTACATTCATAGTGCTGAAGACAAACCAGAACCCCGACCACTGGATCCTCCGGGGAGTGGGCGCCCTGTGTGACATCAAGTAGACCTAGTAACTGTCCTTACTGATGTCACACTGACCTGCGTGACATCATTTGGCACTAACATAGGGATAAATATTGGTTAACAAAGATCAAATTTGTTAACTTTTTACAAATGACTTTAAAAGGAGCATGAAAAGTGCAGTATATTTCAGATTATGAACAATGATGAAATTTCCCATGACACAGATAATCCTTGCAGATCTCTATAATTTTTGCTAAATTTATTTATTCTTTAATAAATTATTTATTTATTGTTTTAATGTGATCTTGTTATGAATATTTAATTTTGAATAATACTGTTTTATGACCACACCTTTGCTTTGTTAATTATATCCTTATGATATCGATGTAACTCCACTGATGCCATCGGCAATGAAACGTCAGGTGATGTAAATAGGAACCTGAAGAAACCATTGCTACAATATGCTACTGACATGACAATTCAGGGAATGATAATTAACAGGTCCATTGTACATGCTTCACACATTCATATACAAGTGTCACATATTGATGTGAGCTCTGCTCAAATTGTTTTCAAATGTCATTGAGCCTTTGAATTGCAAGGTCAGTTCACCGTGTACTTAATGTACCAGGTGAAGTACAAATAAATACGACGACTTTTCACTTTGTACATTACCTGTCAATCACACTTGTATCAACTTGATTATTTACAAACCAGAGGAATTGTAAGAAAGATAACATATGAAATGAAGGCCAGACCCTGGGACCTCTGAACTCTTAGACGCTCTAAGTTACTTGGGTTGCTGGCGATTGACCCAGTCCAGTTCCGCTACATTCCTCCCTCCTTTTTATAAGTCTTCGCCCCTGCTGAAGACAACACTATTTACAACCCTGGTACAGGTATACCCTTACCAAGCATACACACAGTACATATACTTGAAATGCATGACCAGACTGGGATTTGAACCCAGGACCTCCAAACTCTAGATGTAGATCATCTTTTACAAAACACTGATGACTTCCCCATCAAACAAGGCTTGATAAGAGCACTAGCTTCATAAGTACAAAACTTCCTGTATACATCTTGAATGCAAACGGCTCCAATAGAGTGCTAGGTTGATAAGTGTAGAAGTTAAATTTCAATTTGTTATTTTTAATAGTTTGAGATCATGCTTCAGAAACCTCACATTTCGTATTTTTGCCTTTTTCCATGGCAACAGAAAAAGAAAAACAAAATATACAAAATGAGAACTCCTCCAGTAGCAAAATGCACCAAGAGAGTGCTAGCTTGTACAAAGTTTCAGGCAGTTCTTGAACAATTTTGTTGCCATGCTCTGGAAACCGTGAAATTTGTAATTTTGCCTAACTAAAGTGATAGGATGATAAGTGAACAAGGTTTCAGGTACATGTAGTTATCTTGTAAGGTTTTGACAACTTATTCCGGAAACCGCAAATTTTGTAGTTTTGCCTATCTGTTTCCATGGTAACCAAATTTTTCTTAAAAGAAAGAGAACCTCTCCATAGCAAAAGGCGATACCAGAATGCTAGCTTGATAGTTATACAAAGTTTCAGGTAGTTATCTTGAACGGTTTTGGAGTTATGATCCATATAACTGAAATTTGTAATTTGGCCTATGATCCATATAACTGAAATTTGTAATTTGGCCTATCTGTTTCCATGGTAACTAAAAAGAAATTTTAGATGTGGAACTTCTCCATAGCAAAAGGCACTACTAGAGTACTAGCTTGATAACTACAACGTTTTGAGTAATTATCTTGAACGGTTTCAGAGCTCTGGTCAAGAAAAACGCACCGACGCACAGAACCCAATTTAATTTCCCCTGTAAACACGTTATGCGGGGGTAGAACAAAATGACATCAAGGATGCTAGATATATAGGATCCTACATTAGTTTCCATTTCATATGAGATTTATGAAACGAGTCCTAAAAAAAATCCATTCAGCAAGCTAAAATGAAAGATTTGTGAAGAGTTTCATAAATTTCTTATGAAATGGAAACGAGTGCAAGATCCTCTTTATCACATAATCCAGATTTGAGGCATTTATTCGCGTAAAACAACAATTTCATGCAACCTTGAAATGTAAAAATCCGCCATTTAGACTCACTGGATAACACAGTACATTATGTGATAAAAACTATTAATTTATTTAGAGACCTGTGTACAACCAACAAAATACAAAATAAAATGGTGCTGAAATATTCTGAATATTGGTGGATAACAAGTTCACAGCCAGGGAGTTTCAGACAGTCAGTTTGTGTGAGCTGTCCGGTAGTATATATGTCAGTATAGTATGATAACAAGTTCATAGCCAGGGAGTTTCAGACAGTCAGTTTGTGTGAGCTGTCCAGTAGTATATGTCAGTATAGTATGATAACAAGTTCACAGCCAGGGAGTTTCAGACAGTCAGTTTGTGTGAGCTGTCC